TATTTCCTTGACATCTGATGGCGTTCCACAGGGCGGACACCACTTACTGAGAAGGCCCTCTGCCTGGTTCCCTGTAAACCTCACTTCTTGCAGCGAGGAAACTGCCAGAAGGCCCTCAGCGCTGGACCTCAGTGTCTGGCTGAATGATGGGGGTGGAGATGCTCCTTCAGTTATACTGGACCGAGGCCTTTGAGGGCTTTAAAGGTCAGCACCAACACTTTGAATTGGGTGCTCGGAACCATACTGGGAGCCAACGTAGGTCTTTCAGGACCGGTGTTATATGGTCTCGGTGGCCACTCCCATCCACCAGTTTAGCTGCCACATTCTGGATTAATTGTAGTTTCCAGGTCACCTTGCACAAAGAGCACATTGCAGTGACTAACTTAGGCCTATTAATTTCAGTTAAGGTTTACTCTGAGTGAATTTTTTGTTGTTTAGCCGTCTTAGTCATGTTTGACTCTCTGTGACCCGTGAAGCAGAGCATGCCTTGGAGACTCTCACTTTCTTCTCAAAGCTTCTCCTTTTTTGTGTCCATGGAGTTTTCTTGGCAAAATACTGGGAGTGGTTTGCCAGTTCCTTCTCCAGGTGGATCACATTTAATTTAAACTCTCGGCTGTGACCTGTCCGTCTGGGTGGTCCTGCCACAGCATAGCTCATCGCTTCTTGCAGTTATTCAGGCCCTTTCGCCACAACAGGCAGTGATCCATGAAGGAGCTGAGTGTGATTAGCATTGGATAAAAACCATTAGCCATAGGCCTACTTGACCCAACTACCCACGGAGTGGTTTAGAAGAAGAAGAAGAAGAGTTTGGATTTGATATCCCGCCTTTCACTCCCTTTAAGGAGTCTCAAGCGGCTAACATTCTCCTTTCCCTTCCTCCCCACAACAAACACTCTGTGAGGTGAGTGGGCTGAGAGGACTTCAAAGAAGTGTGAGTGGCCCAAGGTCACCCAGCAGCTGCATATGGAGGAGCGGAGACGCGAACCCGGTTCCCCAGATTGCGAGACTACTGCTCTTAACCCACTACACCACACTGGCTCTCCATTGCTGCTCTCTTAAGACATTTTTTCTTAGCAGACCTGCCCCTTCTCCCAAACAAAACAGAATTGCCCATTGGCTAGTGCAGTGCTGAGAACGTGACAAAAAGTTGTAAGGTTAGGACTGTCTGATTGAAACTATTTTTGCCATTCATGGTTGGAGCACACCATTTATTAATGACAGCAGTTGTTTCTTAAAAAAAGAAAAGAATTCAACTCATTGTTTTAAGATTGTCAAAGATGTGCTGAAGATGAATCATTTGAACCATAGCTGTGTCTGCATCCCACTCCACCCCCAACCCCCTAGTCAAAAAAAAGATACTGGGCTATTTTAGAATTAACAGGCAGTAAACGCAAAATTGGCCTCTCCATTGGAATTCTCCAGGCAGAACTTTGCAGCTGCGTCGGAGAAGCAAAGCACAGCCGGTGTCTGAAGCTTATCAGCTTTCTTAAAGAAGTTGCCAAGGGCACTACAGTGGTACCTCGGGTTACAGACGCTCAGGTTACAGACGCTTCAGGTTACAGACTCCGCTAACCCAGAAACAGCACCTCGGGTTAAGAACTTTGCTTCAGGATGAGAACAGAAATCGTGCGGCAGCGGCGCAACCGGCAGCAGGAGGCCCCATTAGCTCAAGTGGTGTTTCAGGTTAAGAACAGTTTCAGGTTAAGGACCTCCACAACGAATTAAGTTCTTAACTCGAGGTAACCACTGTATTCTCAAGAGGGATTTGCAAGGCAAGGGGGTGAGCTCTCCATCCCTAAGGGCAGGGGTCAGCAAACTTTTCCAGCAGGGGGCTGGTCCACTGTCCCTCAGACCTTGTGGGGGGGGCCGAACTATATTTTGAGGGGGGGATGATTCAAGAGCCCCACGAGCCCAGTGGCTGCTTACCTGTGTCTTGCGAGCGAAAGGGGCTGGCGGTAGCGGCAGAGGGGATGCTGAGTGGTGCTCAAAAGGGCTCCAGAGAGGAGCTGCTTAAAATGGCGGCTGCCCAAGCACTGCTGCTGCTGTACCAACAAAGCCCAGCCCCCTTCCTCCCCTAGGCAGGGCAGGGAGAAGCCAGGAGGGAGGGAGGGAGGGAGGGAGGAGGCGCCACCACCGCTGCCGCCGGCGTGGAAGGAAGAGGCAAGGAACTCGCGTGAGCTGGCAATCCATGCAGCGATTTCCCGAACCGCCCGCGGGCCAGATCCAGAAGGCAATTGGGCCTGATCCGGCCCATAGACCTTAGTTTGCCTACTCATGCCTAAGGGGCATTGAAGCAGGGACTGCGCAGCCATTGGACTGGGAGGCTCGAATTGCGTCCTGATTGCAGGTCCCACATTCGCAGCTGTTTTTAACATCTGATTTGATCAGCGCTCTATTAATAATTGTTTTGTGGGAATTCAATCAATTTCCTTTATTCGACGATAGTCAGAAATAAACATTACACAATGATTATAAACTGTAACATCATAGGGGTACATAAATAAGGTAGGGCCACAGTACTAGACCTCTCACAGATAACCCACATCAAAGCATTCAGTTATACGTTTCCGACACTTGAGTGCCAGGAAAAGGAATTTAGCCACTGACAAAGTTGTTTTCCCAGAAGACTTATTTAGCAGATATGCTGTCTGCTTTCCTCTTTGTCGGGAACTGAGCTGGGGTAAGTAACTCCTCCTAACGGACCCAACGCAGCTAGCTGCCACTCAACAGTGACTCCCCATGACCAAAACAGACTTCTCCTCTCAGCAAGCAGGGTCAGCATGCTGTCTGTGACAGGCTTTTGGCCCGTTCCGCTGCTTCTGAGCCAATTCTCACCGCCTACTGCAGCTTTTTTTATTTTTACTTCTCCAGAAGCTTTCTCTGCTCTTTGAAGAGGAGGGAGAGCATATGGCTCGAAGAGCCAATGTATTTCCTCCCCCCTTTATCCTTCTGCAACGCTAGCATAGTAAAAACTAGGGGTGGATGGATGGATCTGTGAATTTCAGTTATCTCTCAATTTCTTGCTTTTCCAGTCTTTTAAGTTCAGTTTTTGCACATTTCCAGATCAGTTTTTTTTAGTTCTCATGAAAACGTTAATGTGAATTTCTCATAGAATTGTAGGGTTGGAAGGGACCCCACAGCTCATCTAGTCAAACCCTCCACATTGAGGGGTAAAGGTAAAAGGTAAAGGGACCCCTGACCATTAGGTCCAGTCATGGCCGACTCTGGGGTTGCAGTGCTCATCTCGCTTTATTGGCCGAAGGAGCCGGCATACAGCTTCCAGGTCATGTGGCCAGCATGACTAAGCTGCTTCTGGTGAACCAGAGCAGCGCACAGAAACGCCGTGTACCTTCCCGCTGGAGCAGTACCTATTTATCTACTTGCACTGGTGTGCTTTCGAACTGCTAGGTTGGCAGGAGCAGGGACCGAGCAACGGGAGCTCACCCCGTCGTGGGGATTCGAACCGCCGACCTTCTGATCGGCAAGTCCTAGGCTCTGTAGTTTAACCCACAGCGCCACCCGCATCCCTACCTTGAGGGGTATATCTCCCCAAAGGCGCATTTCCCCCTTTTTGCACATGTGTTTGCAAGCAGTTCCCCCTAATAAGAGTTACAGTTTTGTACGTTACATTCACTGAAGGTATAAATTTTCACACACGATTACCGCAACGCAGACACATTTTTTTTGTACGCGTTGTTTGGTTGGAGAGCTGCTGCCTCACAAAATCAGGAAAAACAAGGATTTCTTAAAGGGTGGCTGTGTTTCAGTTCAGGTATTTTTTCAGGAAGTGTGAATCAGATACGGCTCACATTAAAATGCAAACCGGCTTTCTCTCCCATTCCTTGTATAAAACTGCCCCATTCCTCTCTTCCTCAATTTCAACGTTTTTTAAAAGATTATTCTGACCTACAAGTACTGTGTTTACTCAAATCTAATGCACACCTTATTTGGCCAAATGACATTGCGAATATCAAGGTGTGCATTAGATTTGATGGCACATTTACATTCGCCTGCAAATATCTTTCATTGGTTTCAAGGTTCTGAAAACTGAGGTACGCATTAGATTCTATGGCGCATTAGATTCGAGTCAATACGATATTTGTCATTTCAATAACAAAGTAGTAGTTTTTCAACATTATGTGTATTGATATTTACTATTAATCATAAATTAATAGTAAACAAATATGTATGTGTATGTAGGCATTTGTAAGTGTAGATCTGTCAGGGACTGGGCAGAAGAGGAATGGTGGAGACCACCTCCCCAGCCTGAACCTCCCAGAGAAGAAGACGACAGTTCAGAATTACGGACACAGTGTCTTTAGACACTGCCCCCATTCCCAGAACCCGGCAAGCAGTGAAACTAGTAGAACAAAGGGCTCAGAAGCAAAAGGACCTCAGCGCCACCCGTTGGAGAGAAGCTGATGAATGAGGAAATGGGGAGAAAAGGGGGGTGGAGATTTACTCAGGACAACGCCATTATTCCAAGAGGTTGCATTTCCAAGCCTCTCTCTCTGAATATTGAATAAAAAGCCGTTGGTAAGGACTTTTCCTTGTCTTATCTGTTCTTGGCAACCTGCCGTGGGGGCTTGGATCTTGTTCCACCTGACAAAATCTGTTCTAATAATAATTATAAATTACAAAACAATGTGGATATATATAGATATATAGATATAGATACAGATACAGAGATAAATGATAGATGATAGATGATAGATAGATAGATAGATAGATAGATGATAGATAGATAGATAGATAGATAGATAGATAGATAGATAGATGATAGATAGATAGAGAGATAGATGATAGATGATTTAGTAAATGGCACTTTGAACTGTGAAATGTTCGTTGCAAATTATTCAAAGATAACTTCCCCCTTTCTTTCTCTCCTTTCTTCTCTCCCCCTTTTCTATCTCTCCCCATCCCTCCCCCCCCACTCACCCACCCTCCCCACTACCCTTAGGTCCCGAAAACTTCAGTTCAAAGAGCCTTGCGCTGCAAGCCCAGAAAAAGATCTTGAGTAAAATGGCCCACCAAGACCATGGCTAACATGCTGATTGATGACACCAGCAGCGAAATCTTTGACGAGTTATACAAAGTGACCACGGAGCACATGAAGAACAAGAAGGAAGCCCACAAAATCATGAGGGACTTGATCAAAGTGGCCATCAAAATCGGGATCCTCTACCGAAACAATCAGTTCAATTCCGAAGAGCTGGAGATTGTCGAGAAGTTCCGCAAGAAGCTGAACCAAGCGGCCATGACGATTGTTAGCTTTTACGAGGTGGAGTACACTTTCGATAAAAATGTCCTCTCGGAACTCCTGAACGAGTGCAAAGACCTTGTTCACGAACTCGTGGAACGGCACCTGACAGCCAGGTCTCATGCGCGAATCAATCATGTCTTCAACCATTTCGCAAATGTGGAGTTCCTCACTGCCCTCTATAGCCTTGATGGGGAATGCCGACCACACCTCAAAAAGATCTGTGATGGAATCAACAAACTGCTAGATGAGAAAATCCTTTGAAACTTTGCCCTTTTTAAAAAAACAAAACATAACAGCAACTATACAAGTTTCACTTCAGAAATGTAACCAGAGAGTTGGGACCAACTGTTAGCTTCCTGTGCATAATCCCAAAAGAGAATGGCCTGGTTTGCACACTAAACCATGGTTTGTTAAACTACAGTTTCTTTAACCATGGCTTAGTGTTATGCATGAGCCCAGCAGCTTAACTATGGTTTATTAACTATGGTTAAAAGTTGCTTGTTAAGGTTTGTAGTTGCTTTATAAACCATGGTTACTGTAAACCATAGCTTAGTGTTACATGTGGACGCAGCCCAACACCTCCTCCTTAATGCTGCTTATGGAGTCATCACCGCTCAAAAGGTACACAGCTGTAACTAAATAGCAGCTCTTCTGGGCTTGTGTCTCTTTGATAGAGAGATGTAATAAACTAAGGCTTAAGTGACCATCTGCCAAATGTTTCCATTTTAATGATGGTTTTATTAATGACGGTTAGTGTTAACCATGGTTTAACATTTAACATTAACCATGGTTTAGTGTTATGTGTGAACCAGGCCATTCCAGAGCATTTGTAATGGAATGGAAAGCAAAGCAAGCCACACTTCAGACCACAAATAAACTAAGCATTTTATGATGCAAGGCCATTTGTGACGGGGAGGGAAATGATTACATACCATGATCTCATTATTCCTGTGTTGTGGTTACAGTTTGATGTGCCAAAAATGAAACCTGAAGTTCCATGACATCGAGCAAACATGCCCACGTTTATATTGTAGAAGAATGGAACCCATAAGGTGAAGTGGAAAGAATGGGTTTCTGGATATCATTATTCTTAAAACTGAAAATCTCTTTTTAGCACATGATCCAAACAGAGAATAATTCCATATGCCAGGAATGGGGGCAAAGCACAACAAAAGCAGGAATATTGATTCTCTTAAGGTGTCAGCATTTTATACCAAGAAAGGAATGAAAAAGTTGCGCCAATCTCTTAAAGACTCTTAAATGGGGAGCCGCAGAAAGATTGTGCAGATTCTGCATTGTCGAAGCTATTATTCATAAGGGTGTGCATTGGCGGGGGGGAGGGTGAAGAACATGGTAAACTGGGGTGATTTTGGGGCTCGTCCCTCCACTTCTGAATTTAAGCATGATGTCAGTAACCTCCCCACAGTTGAATCAGAGTCCCCACAAAGCCTGGTGTCTCACTGTTGTTTCTGTACCATATACAGCTCTGTATTTTTCTATATATCTATGTTTCTCTAGGTCCTTGGGCTTTGCAAGAAATGAGGCTGTCCAAAATGTTGCCCGAAGAGCTCGTGATTGTTTCTTGTCAAAGCATAGAAATGGATACTCATTTTCAAAAGCTTCATTTAAAACAAACAAACAACCCTACAATCCTCTGCCTTAAACTGGATGGCAACCGATATCGTTGAAGGCCTGCACCCACTAGGAATGGACGGATGTGTCTATTTCTGATCATAGCTGTCAAGCGTCCCTTATTTGGCGGGACAGTCCCTTATCCCAGCGCTGTGTCCCGCTGCTGTCCCGGATTGGTGATGTCCCTTAAATTTCCCAGGTTTCAAAGGAAGCAGCTCCTCTCCCTCCCTCCCTGCTGGCCAGGGAGGAGGGAGGCTCCAACTGTGTTGCTTGGCTGCGTTGCTCACCCAATAAGAAGTCTAAGAATGACTGGGGGGGTGGAGCTTGCATGCCTTGTGCTGATCAAATCGGCTGCATTGCCTGGGGACTCGCCTTTGCTCAGCGCTTCCCAGCGGAGAGGTGACGGTGGTTTTCCTTGCGGCTTCAGGCTTCGTTTGGCTGCTGGCTGGGCTTTCTGTCTTTGGCTTGGAGGGGCTCAGAAGTTGAACATACCTGTGCCCGGAAAATCCCTTATTTTGGCTGCTGATCCCTTATTTTTGAGGCTGCTGGTCCCTTATTTTCAAATCTGTAAGTTGACAGCTATGTTTCTGATCCTTAGTCGGTTTCCACAGTTTGGCTTGTCTGTTCCATCCCATTTCCATATTAATCTGCAAAAAGTATAAGCACCCTGGTGGATCAGGCCCAAGGCCTATCTGGTCCAGCATCCTAATCTCACAGCAGTCAACCAAACGCTTAAGGGAAGAAAGCCCACTAGCAACAGCACCCTCTCCACTGCCCCCCCAAAAAAACTGCCATTCAGAGCCATGCTGCCTCTCACCGTGGTGAGTGAACATGGCCGTTGTGGCCAGTAGCCAAATTCCTCCAAGAATTTGTCCAGTCCTCTCTGCAAGCGGTCTGAGCTGGTGACCTTCGCTACATCTTGTGGAAACAAATTTCGTAATTTTAACTGTGCGGTCTCTTTCTTTTGTCAGTCCCAAATCTTCCAAAAATTGTTGGATGGCCCCAAGTTCTGTTATCCACTTTCTATATGCATAATCTTCTATACCTTCGTTTTTACTCATCATTTTTTCTAAGCTAGAGAGTCCCTAACATTTCACTCTGTCCTCATAGTGGAGCTGTTTCAACCCATTTTGGGTTGCCCCTTTCTAGCTCTCTAATATCCTTTCTGAGGCGTAGACAGCAGCCAGAGCTGTATACATCAGGCCATATATTTAACAATGTGTATTTTGATATTGAGGGACGCGGGTGGCGCTGTGGGTAAAAGCCTCAGCGCCTAGGACTTGCCGATCGAAAGGTCAGCGGTTCGAATCCCCGCGGCGGGGTGCGCTCCCGTCGTTCAGTCCCAGTGCCTGCCAACCTAGCAGTTCGAAAGCACTCTCGGGTGCAAGTAGATAAATAGGGACCGCTTACTAGCGGGAAGGTAAACGGCGTTCCGTGTGCTGCGCTGGCTCGCCAGATGCAGCTTGTCACGCTGGCCACGTGACCCGGAAGTGTCTGCGGACAGCGCTGGCTCCCGGCCTCTAGAGTGAGATGAGTGCACAACCCTAGAGTCTGTCAAGCCTGGCCTGTACGGGCAGGGGTCCCCAACCCGGAATTCACCTTTATCATAGCAGCTGCACACTGGGCTGACATCTTTGTTGAGCAATCCACTGTTGTCATGCTCCTGGTCATTGGGACATCTGCCTGAAAACAGCGAGGGGGAGGAACTCCAGGGGTGGCTTCTTCCATTTCCACCTTCTTACAGCCATCTTCTTGCTTGCTTGGAGGGCTGGCAGGTGAACAAGAGGAGGCTACACCAGTGAGAGGAGCAACAGCGTATGCCTGGTGTGATAACAGAGGACCTTCTAAGGGCATGGGATCTCAAAAGCTGCCTATCGAATCCAACAAAACACTTTCCACCCTTGACATAATCATAGGCAGCTACTTGTCATTCATTTGTGGCCCTAGTTGAGGAGTGGGGAATAGTGGGACTCTCCCCAAGCCACACCCCCATGTCAGCCACACCCCTGTTTCCACAGGCCACACCGCTTGCCAGCCTTCTTCGTATCGCCAGCAAGTGGTTTTTGCCTGTGCCCTTGAGCTCTGATGATGCTTGTCTGGCTGGATGATAGAAAGTGGTGTGTAGACACGGGTGGCACTGTGGTCTAAGCCACTGTGCCTCTTGGGCTTGCCGATCAGAAGGTTGGCGGTTCGAACCCCCATGACTGGGTGAGCTCCCATTGCTCTGTCCCAGCTCCTGCCAACCTAGCAGTTCGAAAGCACACCAGTGCAAGTAGATAAATAGGTACCACTGCGGCGGGAAGGGAAACGGTGTTTCCATGCGCTCTGGTTTCTGCCACAGTGTTCCGTTGAGCCAGAAGTGGTTTAGAAAGAAAGAAAAGAGGAGGGGGAAATGAAAGGAAGCAACACCACAGGAGCTAGCTTTCCTCGCCCAAGCCCTGCTAATCTGTTAGACCCTTCATGCCTGTGTACTCCTTAAATCTTTAGTCTGATAAGGGATGTCCTCACGGTGCTGTTCTTTCCTTTCAGGAAATCACTGTAGGGTCACAATGAACACTCCGGTCCAAGTTTTGATTATGTATTACTGAAAAGATATTTAAAAATTGTGTTCCCTCCTAGAGATTCCAGTACAGGAGAGTTTATAGGAGAAACGAAAAACACTGTACAAAACCTATAAATGGCTACTCAGAAGTAGGGGTGCAAGAAGCATTCCTGATTTCTTCTGCCCTGTACTTGTTGCATGCAGCAGTGTTTCTGCTCTGCTGCAATTTGTCATCCACCAAAAACGGCATCATCCACCACACACGCTGCATTGGCAAAATTGCATAAGTTACGTAATTACGTAAGTGTCAGAGCTGCCTCAGGTCCCAGCTCACAGAGGACCAACGCCAGTTTCTTTTTATATACAAAAGTCTTTATTGAAGTTCATTATTGGTTTCACAGCCGAGGCGCGCAGCTCTACGTCTGGATCCCTAGACCGCCGAAGCTCCGTCTGAATCTCCTCCCCCCGTACACCAGTTCAAGACTCTCGCCTTGCTCCACCTCTTCCTCTGCTCTTTTCTCCTCTGGGTCCTCCTGCCCCCCGGGGCTCCACCCCTCCTCGACTCTTCGGACGCGGATTCCTCTGACTCCTCCCCCTGCTTCCGGCGGGCTTTGGGACCTGGTTCCCAATCCGGATTTTCTGCTGTCCCGCGCGCCTGCACATTTGAACTTGGCGCGCGCGCCCAGCCGCCCACTTTCCTCCTAACGGCTACACTGCTGCTGTCACTGCTTCCCCCTTCGGGGGGGCTGGCTGGAACTGACCTCCCCTCCGCTCCTCCACTCCCCGACAGAGGCGTGGTCAGTCCTGACTCACTCTCCCTCCCCGCTGGTCCTGATCTGTGGGCCTCTTCCCCCCCGCTACGCCCTGGTGGGGAAGTTGGCCCTGATCTCCAGCTGCTGCTTTGAGCCTCTCCGCTGGCCCCCCTTGCCCTGACCCTGGGCGCCTCCTTCTGGGAATCTTCTGATTCGCTGGAGAGGCTCATGGAATCTCCCTGGTCACTCTCATACCCTCCTATGCTTCCCTCAGATCCTTCCTCTTCGCTCTCCATCTCCTCTTTCCCCTGTGGCTCTGTCCCTGAGCCCCTGACAGTAAGTTACGTTGTCCTTACATTATTCCACCCCACTCGTTGCAGTGTAAAGAAGGGAAGGGCACAATCAGTTATGCACGGTTCACAAACTGAAAGCAAAAGCAACAGCAAAGGTCAATGGCATTCACTAGATTGTTTCCAATTTTGGATAGGGAGCAAAAAGCGAGCGTTGGCGATTTCCGCTCCCATTTTTGTTTTCGTCGGAATTCTCTGACATCCCTACACAGATATAAGTTTCACTGGGTTCAGCTGGGCTTACTCCCAGGTAAGTGGGTGTAGAATGGCTGCTTAAGAAACTACAAAGGCCTATTGCCGCATAGCAGCAAATACATAACAATTGTTTTCTAAGATTAAACACAGGATCTATTCTGGCAACCAGAAAAGTAAAATCCACAATGGCGTGCCCTCCTGCTGGCTTTGATGAGATTGTCCACGAGTCACTGGTCTCTGGTAGCTTCATTGGGCAGTTTCCATTTTGCGTCCGTGTCCATTCACTGGATAATGTAATTTGGGGAAGAAGATCAGCTCTTTGTCAAATCAGAGAAATACAAAGAGGAATTGGCTTGTTTTGCACATAACACTAAACCATGGTTTAACATTAGGGGAATGAGCAGGTGTGAGCCTCAGGCTCCCACTTCTGTACACCTGCAAAGAGATTTAAAACCTGTGGTTTCTGCTGTTCACTTATCATAGTTAACATTACATCTAAACAGGGCAAATTCTGGTTAGTTAAGAGTATGGTTATTTTTATTTTATTAATTTTCAATAGATTTTTATTAAACCAGGACAGAAATTATACATCCAAGGTCATCACACCTCCAACTAATTTTTAAAAGGGAAGACGGGATAAAATATCACTTTGAAAACTGTTGTTTCACAGGTGTGTCGAAATAAATTTGGCTCAGTGACCCACTGCAAAACTGTCCCAAAAACTAGAGAGTACCAGTTGGCCTGTTGTCTACATACCAAAGCATAGCATGCAGGACCATAATTCATTTTAAGAAACCATAGCTTAAACTAAGCAGAGTTCTCCCTTTTTGAAGGCAACAGGAAACTGCGCTTAGCGAAAAATAGAAGTGGATGCTGCTTCATGTGGCTACGCTGGAGGAGGAAGAGGGGAGTGCAAGACTTAGGCATGTTCGTGTTAACACAACTATGGTTTGGTATTATGTGCAAAATCAGTTACTCAATCTGGCCAATCCTATACACTGTGATCAGCAACCTGCAGCCCTCCCAATGGTGATGGATACCCATTATCCCCAACGATTGGTCAGGATGGCTGGGGCTGATGGAAATGGGCTCCACCATTGGGCTCCACCAATAGCTAGAGAGCTATAGACACCATTACTTCCAATAAGCCGATTTCCCCAGCAGTGATGCAGGGAGGCTGCTCCAGGGAGGAAGCACAAAAAGGAGAGATGTTTATATTTTGCACACATTGAGCTTCAAATCTGGTTATTTTTTTAAGGAAACAGCCAAATGTCTTGTTATTTATATGTATAAAAGACTTGAGTAGCCTTTAAAAGGGAGGCAGAAATATTACGCGTGTCTCATGCTGGCATATGCTATATATTCATCGTTTACTTTTATATTGGTGGGTTAACATGCAAAACAATCATTTCAGTAGTGTTTGAGTCAGACTCAAAAAGTGTGCCATGTGTTTATCAGAAATTATGCATTAAATGATTTGTGATTAAACTATATGTCCTTTGGATTTTTTTTAATCTGCTGCAGTTATTTCCTCTTTCTTTTGCAGGGTTCTTTTATTTTTTAAGTACAGTGGTACCTTGGTTCTTGAACTTAAACCGTTCCGGGAGTCCATTTGACTCCCGGAACTGTTTGAAAACCAAGGAGCAGCTTGTGATTGGCTGTAGGAGCTTCCTGCACTCAAGTAGAAGCCACGTCGGACGTTCAGCTTCCAAAATACGTTCGCAAACCACAACAGTTACTTCTGGGTTTGCGGCGTTCGGGAGCTGATTTGTCTGAGAACTAAGCCGTTCGAGAACCAAGGCACAGTGAAAATCAGAACTGTAGGCAAAATCTCCATTTCCCTGAAAGCTCGTTTCTATCCAAAGAACCATCTTCTCCAACATGAGCTGCCAAAAACTTAACCACTGCACACATAGACCCTGCTGTAAATCCTTCTACTGGCTCAAGCTCAACTGGCCATGACTACAAACAAGGCCTTTTCAACTGTGACTCCCCATCTGCGCAATGTCTCTTCCAGGGAAGGTCAGCTGGTGCCAAGCATGATGTTGTCTTGTGACCTGGTGAATTCCTTTTTCTTTTTTGCCAGGGTGAGCTCCCATTGCTCAGTCCCAGCTCCTGCCCACCTAGTTGTTCGAAAGCACATCAAAGTGCAAGTAGATAAATAGGTACTGCTCTGGCGGGAAGGTAAACGGCATTTCCGTGTGCTGCTCTGGTTCGCCAGAAGTGGCTTAGTCATGCTGGCCACATGACCCGGAAGCTGTACACCGGCTCCCTCGGCCAATAAAGCGAGATGAGCGCCGCAACTCCAGAGTGGGTCACGACTGGACCTAATGGTCAGGGGTCCCTTTACCTTTACCTTACGGGGCTTATTGCTATGCTACATTGCACTGCCTTAAGGGAGCTGCCTTCTAATGAGTCAGACCACTGATCTATATTGTCTACACCAACCAGCAGTGGATCTCCAAGGTTTTAGACTGAAGCTTTTTCACTTTTTGATCCCTACCTGGAAATACCATGGAGTGAGCCTGGGGCTACATGTATGCAACTGTGCATTGGCTCAAAGCCTGAGACATCCCTGATTCTTAAGTAAGAGGTAGTGCAAGTATTAAAGGAGCCTTCCACTGACACATTGCTTATGGCAATTATCACCTGGTCTCAATCACCCTCTTTTGGGGAAGGTATTTAAGAGGATCGTGGCCACCCAACTGCTGCTTTCCACGAAGAATATTGGTTAACCAGAACAAAAATAAACCACTTTTGGAGGGAACCTATAAATAAAGAGATCACACCACAGGTAAAAGTAAGCAAATCCATTTATTTTCAACCAAGTTTGATTGTTCTCTTAAATTCTGCATACTGGGAGATAAATAGTAAAAGAGTTTAAGATTTCAAACAAAACGTTTAAAAAAATGAACCCAGCACATGTACATGTGAAAGCCATAGCTATTATTTAACATCATGCCAACACCACCTGATGGACATGGTAGAAAACTGCATAGGAGAGAAATGGTAGCTTTGCTAGCTCTTGTAGCATCCATGGTTTTGCTCAGTTCTAGCCTTTAAATCTGATGCACGCTGTTAACAGTCACATGGAAGGAAAGTTCCCAGAGTTATTTATTCATTTCTCCAAAATATAGGCTTCCATTTACATCCATGAGGCATAAAGTAAACATAAGTATACATTAATATCTGAATATTGTTTTTAAGAGTTATATTTTAGTGCACTTTTGTGAATCCCTCCATTTAGACATCATTGGAAGAAAGGAGAGAAATACCTGTCTCTCAGCTTTTGCTAACTGGTCACTCTGTGCTTCCACATCCTGTATCCTCGTGTCCTCCAGAAAGTACGTACTGCAGCTTTGCTTCATGCAAGGGATAGGCAACCTGTGGAAATCCAGATGTTGCTGGACTAACTCACATCATCCCTGACCATTGGGCCCTGTTGGGTGGGGTTGACGGGAGTTGGAGTCCAATAAAATCTGAAGGTGTTGGAGGCTGGTGACCATCTGGATTGGGTGAAGCTAGACCCAATGACAGGCAAAGCCACCCTAGATATAGGAAGGTGGACCGATAGGCTGGAGGGGAAGGCTGAGGCTGGTGGGGCAGTGCCCCACTCACCCTAGTGGACCAGCCATCAATGTGAAGAGGGCCTCCAAGTGCCCACCCCTGCTGTACGCCATAGAAGGGAATGGAGAGGGGCTGTGGTTTGACACTGCTGAGACAGCTGACGAAATTGGGCCTCCCCTTCTCCGCTTTTCCTCAGTCACTGAATGGGATCTCATCGGCTGTGTGGTGCTGTACTTGCTTAACAATACTTATGGGCCACCTTTCAACGTAAAACTCACAAGGCACATTACAAGTGAAAAGAATCCAGACAAAATAGAAAAACAGCGCAACAGAACTTACGTCAACACACGTTTAAGACAACCTAAGGACAGCGAGAGTCTCTAATAAGTCTCAAATGACAGATGTGGGGAGGGTGTTTTCAAGTTCATGAGTCTACAAAAGGGGGCCATGTAAGAACACTGCAGGAAAGCATTCCACAATCTGGAGGAGGCTGCAGAAAACCTCTCCTCTCCCCCAGCTGTCTCCTGCCACCCACAGAGCAACAGTCTTCTCCTGCTGTTTTACATTTCATACAATACAGAGCTCATTTACAAAGTCTCCAAAACACAGTGCAATTGGCTCTCCTCTTTTTATTTCCTCTGATGTGACAAAAGTTACACTATTCATGTGTATCCAGCATTTCCCCCAAACGTGTCCCTCGCATGGTACACTTTCCTGCATTATGCAGAACGTCAATTCTCCCGAGGTTCTGGAAGGAACGAGTCTTATCATTCCAAGAGGGAGCTTTTAACTAGTCAAAGGTGACTTTTATCACAGATGTTTGGGAGTTATTTGGTGACTTGTCCTATCGTATTTTTAATCAAACCTTAACTTTTGTAAATCACACATTTTAAAAGCATACATTGAAGGGCAGTATAAAAATTGAATTATTTAACTAAAGCTGTTGTGTGCCAAGGCTTGTGGCGGCCAACTGCTCACCACTGTTACATTGATGACAGCAGCACAGTACACTATTATAGAATCTACCTTTCTCCAGATGTAGAGAAGTACAATGTTTGGTAGGCCAGTAGAGTGTCAACCCTTGCTCTCATTGTCATGTTCACAGTGATGGGTACCATTTTGCGGGTTTCTTACTCGTTATACCAGCCGAACAAGAACTGTGACCTTAACTTAGCGCTAGTGGATACAAGCCATTATCTATTAATTATTGACTGATTTTTAAACAAGCTGAGAGCAACTCTGAGCAGCATTTTAAGATGGGAGATAGAATATTTAAACACATGTAATAAAAACAGCACTCTTTTCAACCTAATCAATAATTATCGTATCAGAAAGCAGGTGGGGTATGCCCATGAGTTCAATGCTAATCACACACCAGTGTTTCGTTGGGTTGAAGAGGCATTACATTGGCACTGCAGACAAGTGAAAATGTTGAATGTTAATGTTTTCCTGAACTACATATCTGAAAATACACATGGATTTGAAATTCTTCCCTAACATTTTCCTGTATCCATTTCCTTCTACTGGAATCATTCCAAAGGATTTCTATAAAGCAAGACATTAAAAGAGAGTGTCAAAGCACTCGTGCTTATGGAATCTCAGCCTGGGAATTTAGCCTTTGGGAAATCAAAAATTGTAATTTTACAACTCAGAAAGTCCAAATCATGCCTGCTTGTCAACAATTACAAAAATAGCGGTGATCTAAATCAGGCAAGCTTTGTTTTGAAGAGAAAAATCACTTTTTCACTTTACAGATTACTGACTGTGTGGGGAATATCATTGATTATTTAAAACTGACCAATTTAAAATGAAGAGCAACACTTTGACACTACTAGGACTGTGGTTACTCTTTTCTTAATAAGTCTATCAAAATTTTGGTTTCCTGGTTGAATTTTCTGATGGAAATTACTCTCCTTCAAAAATGTTATAAACCACCCAGGATCAAACACACTGAAATGCTGGTTCAACTGTGTCAATTCTCATACTTGAGCTATAAGAGCTAGAAACCTGGGCTACAAATCAAAAAAGCTTCATAACTAATATCACCATTTTTAAAAAAAGAGGAGGTACCCTGTGCTGTAGCTTTGAAAGGTCCTATTTCTCTCATTCACTGAACAGCAAAAAGTATCACAACAAATGAATGGAAAAATGTCAGCCACTTGCAATGTTTTTGTTCTGCTGCAACAGCAACTAGTATTTAAAATACAGCAGAGATAAGTAGTCAGGAGATACTACGTATGTCTAAACTTTCCTGCAAACAAAGCTATTTTATTGCTGTATACATGCGCCAGATTCACTCTGGTTACCCAAGGGAAAAAATGGGTCCAATGCTAGTCCTACTCTAGACTTTGGAGCCACCAGAAACAGCAAGCCAATATCCATCTTTACTCTAGTGGTCTCTTTGAATTCAACAGACAACGGCTGCCGTTCAAGCCTATGGATAAAAACGAAGTGCTATTCAAACATAATCCTTCAGTGGTGCAAAACCTCCGTAACAAATCTGCTCCTGACCATTTTTCCTGTTCTGATTTCGATTTTGTCTTTTTGCTGCTGTTCTAATCTAGCTTTAATAATTGGATCTGATGGCACGGTATTATGTTTTATATGTGCTGCTTTGACAATTCGTCACAGAATTGAAAAGCAGGATATCGATTTCATAGAATAAATAAATACATAAAGTGTGCCCAATGAAATCAAGGAACTTAAATTAGTCACACCCATTAACTTCAATGAGCTGAGTAGGATTATCAATGGATACAATCCACCATCTTTTGTAAAAGCTGCTGCAAATATACAAAAGATGGCTATGGGTGGTTTTGCACTTTCGTCTGCCCATTAAGGGCAACCTCTGTGGGAACTATGACACACACACACCTGGTTTAAATAGCAGAACAACCATGATACGTCACAAAATGAATCTGGGAGGATATTCAAAAGCAGAATTAGCTTGTTAGATAGCACAAAGAGCTGCTCTTTAAGGAACACAAGCTCAGTGTCTTTGGCCATGTGGAATATGTCGTGTAGCTCTTTTGATTCCAGCTTGTATTATAATGCAAAAGTGCAAGCGTTAGATCTATGTGCCATGTGATCACCATGGGCAATAGTCAGTACAATTAAGGGATGCTACTGATGCAGTATGAGGAAGGACAGGTCAAAACTTCTGATGGATTCATGCGTGAGCCTCTCGAGGTGGTCTCTGGAGCCTAGTGTTTTTAAACACTGAAAACTGAGATTCTTGGTGCACAGATGGCTCTAATTGCAGTCCTGTGCTAAACTACAGAGTCCTGCTCACAGCCTGAAGCTGCATTCTTAAGAAACCAGTATCCTATCCTCAGGATAAGACCCAGTCCTCCTATTAAAGGCAGGTATCAAACATGGCATCACATAAAACAGCAGCCCCAGTGCTGTTGCGAGGTGCAATGATATGACTTGTGCTTCCAAAGCTTGGCATTTATGTGCTGGTTATTGCTGAGTCACAGGATGACTCAGCCTACAACCATAGGACAATCGTGGAGATTTATCTTATAGCAGAGTGCCTGCTTTTGCAATACTGGTGCGAAACTGGTATAAAAGATGCAAAAAACAACAACCCCATCATGAACAACAGGAACAGTAGGCAAGGCTTAAGAAGTTCCTTTACACCATAAGCCACGTTAATGAAAGAATTCAAGTAGTAGCTGATCTTATGACTAAACTGCTGTGACCTGTACAAGTACATAACAGAAAATAAATACCTTGCATAACACCTTGCATAAAAGTACCTATACTTTTACTTAGTCCCTTGTCAGTGACTGACTGACCCTGAGCTTTTGGGGGGGGGGGGAGAGAGGCAGGCACCTAGCAGAATCGCCTGTCATCTCTCCAGGATGCATGCTTATGCAACTTCACTCCTGACAAACAAGATGAGAATTGCCTTTCTTTTGGTAACCCCCTGGCACAGCCACGCACGTCCTTCTTTCCATTAGGTTAGAAGAGGAGGGTTTTGCTCCTTTTCTCAGGATTCTTCCATCACCTTTTGACACTGATAAAGTAAACAGTCTGGAAGAGCCGGACAATGGGATCTGAACCACAGCGACAACATCCCAGCGTGGACACGGCAATGCAGTAAACAGGGGACGGATGGAAGCAGTCGGCATGATGCTATTCCCTCGCTACCTAAAGGGAGGAAAATTGGGTTTTCCCCCCTATTAAATGTCATCGTAATTTCATCCACAATACATTCCTACAGTTCTGTACAAAGCAGGATATCAATTAAAAAAACATCAGTCTGGGTTTGGCACAAGACAATGTGATCAATTAAGAATCACATTTTTGGGGGCACGCAGTTGGTGTGATCAAGTCCACTTTCCAAGAACGAAGTATCCTGCAGATCATCACAATGCATTGTGAAAAAGACAATAGGGTCATCACCTTGCAAATGTGAACTGGCTTCTGATGAACAAGGGTTGACCCTGGTTAAAACTGGTCTGTTTCACTGCCTGCCTAGGATCATCCTTGATAACAAATCTAAAGAAATCCCAAGCTACTTACCTATGATATCAACTATATGTAGGTTCAGCTTTTGCTGCAAAATGCTTAGGACGGCTGACAAAGATCCCTGAGATGACGTCATCTTTAGGTTTTGTTTGACATCATTCGAAATGGAGAGCCACAGTTTTCCAAATTCATCAGTGCTCATTTTCATTGGCCTGAAAATGCAATATGAAATAGAAGCAGATTTTGCAATATGTACTTAGAAGAGAAAGCTGTTCCCAAGAAGACAATGAAAACAAAACTTTCTGCCCCACCGTGAAGTATTTTTCACACTATCCTGCAGCCTGAAATTGTCAACCTAAACAAGATTCCATTAAAATTGTCAGCTGGGCTGTTCCTTAAATGTACGGGACTGGCATCCTCTAGCACAGATATGGGATATAGTTGAGACAGCAAAAAGGCAGTCTACAAGTTGTCTTTTTACACTCTGAGGACATGCATATGGAGATCAGAAGTACCAGAGAAACAGACATGGTTTCCCTTCCACTTTTAGAGTGGGGAAGACCCTTAAATGATTTTTCCCCCATGCCCTCTCCTCTCTACACTCATATGTTTCAAATTACCTAGGAAGCACCACAACTTTTTGATAATGAAGAGTCTGAGAAACAAAAGAGCCTCTCTCTCTCTCTGTGTGTGTGTGTGTGTATGTGTGTGCATAAGCATGAGATATGACAAAATATTACAAACAAGATAAAGCATAGCAAGCGAATTCAAATTAATATTTGCTTTAAAACACTTCGTTAGTTCCCAGCTATTTCGCGTAGGTACCTGATAAAATCCAACAGTTCTAAAGTTACAGAAAATCTGAGGAGCGCATCAGACTCTAGAAAGTAACTGATGGACCCAGAGAGCGTCTCTGAAGAGCACAGCCCCTCCATCTCGACACACGTCTGGAAGCTTTCCGTGCTCTGAGCTTCTACCGCAGCGAAGTGGCAACCAAGGCTTTCTGAAATCTACAATAAAACAGGAGCGGGGGGGAGAGCCAAGAGGTTTACAAGTATTTTAATATCACCACCGCCAAGATTTCTTTTAAAGGAAAAGCAGTGGTAAACTTAATAGAATCACAGAACTGTAGAGTCAGAAGGGACCCAAAGAGTTATGTGGTCCAACTTGTAGCTACTGCTCATGTTACCTTAAAATGTTCTGCGTGCTCAAATTCCAGATTCACAGCTTTAAGTACGCAAGTGCTTTTGTTGGCAAGAAATAAGAAGAGTAGGACAGAGTCATCTTTCCAGATTTTACAAGAGGACAAAACCAGTGTTTCATTGCTGCAAAGCTCTACGATTTCCGAATGAGGGTGTTTGGCTGCTTCTTCTGGTAAGTAAGGCATCAAAGAGAGTTGCTGGGGGGCCGTAGCCTGAGCACTTGGAGAAGGCTGGAAAACTTCCATATTGCCATCCGCAAACAGAGAGGACAACGAAAGTCTGTGACCCAAAAGCTTCTCATTCAGTTCAGCTTCCGGCAGAGAATGAGACCTATCAAGTACCACCTTTGATTCAGAAGTTCCAGCGGCACTCAGTGAAGATTTCCTTAATCTTAGGTGTCCATTGTTTTGGAAGAGGTTCTTGTTCCTAGATATCCCATCAGGAAAAGGGCAGAGGGAAGGGCCATCAGCACTTTCGATACTGGATGATTCCTCACTATTTTGGGTTTTGCTTGTTTTTGACTTCCTTCTGAGCTTCTGAGCAGTGGAGTCTCGCTTACCCATCTTAGTTTCAAAGGGACACAGAAAATATATGTTAATTCAGGGAAGGGAGGGGAACACACAAATTTGGGTACAGCCTACTGTTTAAGGTAGTACATTGCAACTTTTTCAGACTCCAGAGCCACCTTTATGCACAGGGTGAATAAGTTGCATCTCAGGGCTTCAGATTATGAGGGGCTTCTAAAAACAAACACCTCCCCCACCCCACAAATTTCAAGTTTTAGATAATTGGTTAAAATAAGTGGGACAGGCTAAAACAGACTGAATTAAACATTTTCACATATGCTAAGTAGGAAATCATAAAGTATTGCCATGTGAAGGTATTTCATATGCAACTGTCTTATTGCAAAATATGCTTTAGACAGACTGTTAGTTGCTGCCTCACCTATGGACCTGTATAAATGGAAATATAAAACTTCACTATTTCTAGTGTCATTGTCCTTTCTGTTAGAATACACACCAGAGGTGGTGAAGAGGTACTGCTACAGGGCCTCTTAAACCTAGCATAGCTCAGGGTCTCAGCATGTCTTAATTTGACCAGGCGTGGTTTTTTTCCTTCACCTTATTTTTTTATATATAATAATTTTTATTAAGTTTTCCATTCTAATAATCCAATCGCATCACATTAATTATTCCAAATTATACCAATACATATTATAAAGTCCAAATATTTTGCCAAATTATAAATTTTTTGTTGGGGGTTCCCATGCTTCGAGTTCAGTAGGGTCCAATCATCTCATATTTCTGCTGCTTTTAGTGTTCACCAGTCCCTTCCTTCACCTTCTTCTATGTGCTCTTCTCCTTCCACTCTGTTATTCCCTTCTCACTCCCCTTCTCTTTGGAACATTTTGATAGGGGCCCAAGCCAGTTATGGGATCCCAGCCTATTAACTGAAAGACCAGTGTCTTACAGGAATAAGAAAATACAGTCATACCTTTGTATCCTTTCAACTTCCAAAATGTTTGGGAACCAAAGCACGGCTTCTGATTGGCTGCAGGAAGCTCCTGCAGCCAATCGGAAGCCGTGGAAGCCCCGTTGAATGTTCAGTTTCCAAAAACAGTTCACAAACCAGAACACTCACTTCCGGGTTTGCAATGTTCAGGAGCCAGAACGTTTGAGAACTAAGCTGTTCAAAAATCAAGGTACGACTGTACAGGTGTTGCTTTCATAGTTTTGGAAGGGTTTTCTGAGGACTCGTGTCAGGGGAGGTCAAGCCAACTTACTCAGCAAAGGGGATGTTAACTCACATGCCGTTTAGGGTCACTGGTTGTGCTGAAGGCAACATGGCAACAAGGCAATGCAATCTTACCTCTTTGGGATGCTAATCCTGCCTGTTAATATCCATGCTGTGGCTGTTAAACCGGTGGAGGATATAAAAGGCCACAGGGAAAAGGGAAACAGTAAGGCATGTACTTGGCTAATGTTTCCCTTCCGTGGAAAAAAAGGGGGTTTCCAAACTGTAGAAGGCCGAGAGATGCAAATCATGGGACTTGCATGAACACACTTAGTGGGAGGGACTTTCAGGCATTCAGCCAGAATCCAAGCAGAGTCTTTGAGGTACGCCCAGGGGGTTGCACGAACCCAACAGACTGCCTGGCCTTTTTCCTATTGAACAGCTGGCTCCTGCAGCAGATTGCTACTTTCGCAACTCCCCTCAACTTCAAAATACTTTTGCAATGCAGGCCGGGGGACAGATTTCAAGAAGAAGGAGAGCGCACTATTGAACACACCAAAGAAAAATAATGGATCTTCCCTGTTCACATGTCACAAAATGTGCAGTAAGCAGGGTGGGAGCTCAGAACACATGCTTGGAAGTTTGGGGACATATCCTTTAAAGGGTGGCCAGCCACTCCTATGAAACTGCAATTAGCTGCCATACCAGACTGATGCTGCTTTGAGACCCTATGCCAACAAAGAGTGTTGACGCCAGTTGACGCTTCTCTTCCTCTCCCTCCAACGGACCGGCCATTTCTTGCTCGGGCTGGAATGGAAAGTTGCCAACAATATGCTCTGCAAACGCACTGCCTTCCAGAACGGACTTGGCGTTGTCTTCTTTTTCTGCTTGGCTTTCCTTTTTGGGGAGGTAGCCTTCTTTCCCCCATAGTTTCTTCACCCCATCTAGCTTCAGACTGTTGGCCCTAAAGAATTTGCAATCCGGAAAAGTCAACACAGTGATCAGGAGGAGTCTCTCAAAGAGCTTCTGAAAAGTCAGTCTATTCTTGTAAAGTCTTTCAGAAACCCAATTTTCCTATGTTGAACAAGCTGAAGATGTAACCTAATCCAGGCTTTGCCAACCTGGTACCCTCCAGGTTTTTTGGGACTACAACTCCCATCATCCAGTGCTGGTTGGGGATGATGGGAGTTGTAGTCCAAAACATTTGGTAGGTACCAGGTTGGCAAAGCCTGACCTAATAGGTTGCCCCTTGTGATATCTGTGGGTTAATCCTGCTCAGAGTAGAGCCATCAAAATTAATAGGCATGACTAACTTAGGTATATTAATTTCGGTTGTCCTACTCTGAGTAGATGTGGGACACAGGTGGCGCTATGAGTTAAACCACAGAGCCTAGGGCTTGCTGATCAGAAGGTTGGCAGTTCGAATCCCCGTGACGGGGTGAGCTCCCGTTGCTCGGTCCCTGCTCCTGCCAACCTAGCAGTTCGAAAGCATGTCAAAGTGCAAGTAGATAAATAGGTACCACTCTGGCGGGAAGGTAAACGGCGTTTCCGTGTGCTGCTCTGGTTCGCCAGAAGTGGCTTAGTCATGCTGGCCACATGAACCGGAAGCTGTACGCTGGCTCCCTTGACCAATAAAGCGAGATGAGCGCCACAACCCCCGAGTCGGTCACGACTGGACCTAATGGTCAGGGGTCCCTTTACCTTTTACTCTGAGTAGAACTCAGCTGGGTACAACCCTGTATTTTTTCCACTGGGGTGAACAAGAATAATGGCATGAGGAGAAGAGTCAGCTCCCAGCTCTATTAGCATGGAAGATGCAAAATGACTGAGAGCCCAACACAGCTACTTTTAAATAAAAAGTGTTGTGGGACCAAATCATAGACTTCCCATGAAGTTTGGATCTTATAGAACTAAAATTCTAAATGCAGTTTATAGTTCAGGTGTTAAACCCCAGGACTTTATGCATTTCATTTCAATATTAAATAAAATGCAGATGTGATGTGAATACAATCCAGCTAATGCAGTATTGGGGGGGGGGGAATGGAGGCCAACCTAGCAATGAATTATTGTTGGTGAAAGGGCATTTTTGCTTATTAGGCCAGAAAGGCAATTGCTTTTTTCCGCAGAGCCAGCATTTCCCTATACAAATAGCAAGATAAGAACAGACAGGGAACTCAACTACATATTAAGTCGTTGCTGAAGCGATAAGAGATACTCACTCCTTCTGTCCAGTCTCAGCACTATTAACAGAGATGTCAGACCCCAGAGAAAGTCCAGTTGGAGATTGTCTGCCAGTAAAACCAGACGCTGAGAAGCTCTGGGAAAGTGATAGCCCATAAGGTTCAAAATTCAGAGCTGAAAAGATGGAAAATTACTCATCAAAACAGAAGACCAGATTTAAAAATATTAGAGAACAGCCTGCCTCTCCTGTAATCTGCGTCACTGATGATGATGTTCTGACAAGAATATTCCATATTCAGCATCTTAATATTAAATACCAGTAATTAGTGAAACCCTTGTGCTTTTCAGAAATACAGCACATTTTGAATTCAAGACGGAATCTATTCTGAAAAGAGGCCTACAAAAGCGACAGTTCTAAAATACCAGTTTTAACAAAAAGCATCCTTATTAATTAGATGTGCATATCAAATATTGCAACAGGCTATACAATATAATCAAGCTATTCTTCACATTTAAAACCACTTGACTAAACATTAAAGAGCTAGAAGCATTTAATGGGGAAGGCAAACTCCAATAGCTGCTCATCATGCAGCAATTCATATAGCAATTCATGAAGTGGAAAGTGGCTTGGCCACTGTGAGAAGAGGACTAGATAGACCACTGGCATGATCCAGAAGGCTGTTCTTATGAGTGTCTGCATTTTGCAATATTTGAGGTCTGGTAAAAGCATGTTTCATTGCAGGATCATAGGTTGGCTACTATGGAAATCTCACTGCCAACACTGTAGGGCCCTGAAAAGCTTGAGACCAGCTAACTTGAAAGACCACCTATCCCTGTCTACATCTGTAATTTAACATATTTGACAGACCTCATCCCAATCCTAAAATGTTGGCCATGCAAGCTGATAATTGCAAGGGGGGAGGGGGGAAGGTGCGTATTTTTCACTCCATAAGACGCACCTGACCATAAGACACACCTAGTTTTTAGAGGAGGAAAACAAGAAAAAAAATACTCTGAACGAAACAGTAGATGTATGATTTTTGTAGTTCATTCTGTGCCCACAGACACGTGATTTGACGGTGAGTTTGGGGTAGCCCAATGCAAAAATCCTGAGAATCCATGTAGATCCGTGCTTTGTAACCACGTTTTTGCGCCACTGCGGCCCCACGAAACAGTAGATGTGTGATTTTTTAGTGCAGGCTATAGCCATGGACAAGCTATGGGATCTGATGGTGAATTTGGGGTGACCCAATGCAAAAATCCTGAGGATCCATGGGGATCTGTGCTTTGTAACCATGTTTTTGTGCCATTGCGGCCACATGAAACAGTGGATGCGTGGGTTTTTTGGTGCAGGCTATAGCCATGGACATGCTATGGCGATCTGATGGTGAATTTGGGGTGACCCAATGCAAAAATCCTGAGGATCCATGGGCTTTTACCTCCCCCCTCCCCTGGCAGCCTCCTTTACCAGCAACCTTATCTCCCTCCCAATCACTTGCCGATCAGCTGCTTCCTTTCAACACCCCCTTCCCTCTTTTTTTTTTTTAAAAAAAGCATGATCTGCTTTTTGCCCCTGGACAATTCGGCTCCAGGGACCACACATTCGCTCCATAAGACTCACAGACATTTTCCCTTACTTTTTAGGAAGAGAAAAGTGCATCTTATGGAGTGAAAAATACGGTACCTCCCCCCCCCCCCCGGCATTGTCTCTCTGATGCATATTCATCATGGAACAAGCTGCAAAACCACTGGGGGAGTTTCCCCCCTAAACCTCTCATGCAGTCACATATGCTTGTCCTAGGACTATACTGGCTAGCATTTGCAGGCAAAGAAAACACGCAGTTACCTTTTTCCTGAGACAGCTTCTCCTCTTGTCTTTGGTGATGAGGTTTATATGGCGCTGCACCACGATCCAGTCCTTCTGCTACAAATCCATCTAAGAAAGATAAGGAAGCATCTACCTGCAATGAATTAGGGGGAGAGGTCAAAAGGTGATGATTATTCAGTTATCAGCCTCTTAAGAAAATACCATCCCACCCTCTAAATTTGCTCTTAACTACTATAACAATTAAATACTCCAAGTGAGTGGTTTTTTTCACCCCAGCCTCACTGGCGCAGTTAAGAAATCAGAGGGGAGCAATCCTAGCATGTTGCCTGACATAAAAACCGAACATTATCCATTAGCTTCTACTCAAAAAGGCTATGAGATCTTGCTACTCGCGGGGGAAGTGAGATGCCTCTATATAGGTTCAAACTGTCTGTATCTTTTGCACTGTGTTTAGAAACATGGTACTCTCCTCTCCAGTGTGTTCTGAAGAAACATTCAGCTCCCAAGGACGAAGCAACAACACACACAGAGAGGCGATGTCATTAACTCACCACTAGGTCCTTGCAACTAGCATCCACAGAGAACAGTTGCTTCATCAATTCTTTGTTTTCATATAGATGCTTTAATTCAAAGGCATACTGCCTCATGCAGGTATCCAAGGAGGTACTGAATTCCATGATAAGTTTTTCAACAGTTTTTGAACAGGTGGTATGAGAAGCTATTTTAGTGGCTGCAGCCACGATCCAGGCTTTGGTTTCAGGAGTGGCATTGTTCCTAAGTATCCTATGCAAACTCGCCAAGACAACTTCTGGATCCACGTTCTTCATAAGGTACGCATATTCCCCCAACACCTGTCGGAGGACAGTTATAAACACCGTGATCAGCATATGAAGGCTATGAGCAATGAGGAAGTGAAAATTCGTCTCCGTGTCTTGCATTTGTGCAAGAGCACAGAAAAAGTCAGGGACGCGGGTGGTGCTGTGGGCTAAACCACAGAGCCTAGGGCTTGCCGATCAGAAGGTTGGCGGTTCGAATCCCTGCAACGGGGTGAGCTCCCATTGCTCAGTCCCAGCTCCTGCCCACCTAGCAGTTCGAAAGCACGTCAAGTGCAAGTAGATAAATAGGTACCGCTCCGGCGGGAAGGGCGTTTCCGTGCGCTGCTTTGGTTTGCCAGAAGCGGCTTAGTCATGCTGGCCACATGACCCAGAAGCTGTCTGCAGACAAACGCTGGCACCCTCGGCCAATAATGCAAGATGAGCGTGCAACCCCAGAGTCGGCCATGACTGTACCTAATGGTCAGGGGTCCCTTTACATTTTTTACAGAAAAAGTCAAGAGTTGTAGAAAAAGCCACTGAGGTGTGCAGAGGGAAATCTGAATTTCAGAACACAAAAAAAACAAAAAACAAAACCAGAGTTTGCAGATAAATTAAGCAATAAGCCAGCACCTGAGCTGAAACACAAACTTTTATCCTCAAAACTTTCTTAAGCAACCCCAGAATGGAAGAAGGAAATTTTACCGGACCCAGAGGAAGAAACAAGCAGGTTTCAAAGTCAAAGTCCTAGGTCTACAGAATTTAACACAGCTCAAAATACATGACTGCAGTCCCACTGAGAACATTCAGCAGCAAATATTTTCAAAACAAAGTTAAAAACAAGTCACAGTGTAGTTACAAAAGGCATAATGATTTCACACAATCCCTCTCTGAAGCCCTGAAGGGGTGCTGCCAGTCAGTCTTGACAATTCTGAGCTAGATGGACCAATAATCTGATTTGGTATAAGGCAACTTCTTGTTTCTTATTGGTCATATAAGCTGACCTCAGAAATGTAGTTGTCTAGTAAAAACAAGGCAATCTACTGAAAAACCACAGGTTGTCAACCATACTGAAAACTGATCGTGGGACAGGGAACTAAAAATGACGCATTTTATTGGGTGGCATATAATTATTATAATTTGTTTAAAAATAACAATTAAGCATGCAGATGCCAAACACAGAAACACTTGTCCCTAGGTGTGAAAGAACCGTCTCAGCCCATGAAAAATCATGATCTATGAAACAAAGGATATTTTTAAAAATAGATTTTGGGGGTTTTCTCACAAAGCTTCTTGTTCCTGGTCCTTAAAAAAATTAAAACCACACAAATTTTAATCTTATCAGTGCAAAGAGAAGGACTTCCTTTTTTTGGAAACTCAAGATTCTTAGAAAACCACTCCTCTAGAAAGGCAGCTGCCCTCTCAGTTTCAGTTTATCACTTTTCAGCCACACTGGAAATTGGGCAATTTAATGCTAGAGGTGTGAGAAGCAGAAACACATGCTTAAGTCTCACAGTGAAATCAGTGGAATTGTGAAGCGCTTAACCTTGGCCCAATGATGCCCCCTGCCAACAGCTAAATAGAAGAACAGCATCCTGTCACTGTATGAAATAAATGACCATTTACACATAGACAACCATGTCTCAACTTCCCTTAAAATATTATCACAACTCAAATTTCAATTGCCTATGCTGTACCTACAATTCCCATAAAGGTAAAGGGACCCCTGACCATTAGGTCCAGTCATGACCGACTCTGGGGTTGCGGTGCTCATCTCGCTTTATTGGCCGAGGGAGCCGGCGTACAGCTTCTGGGTCATGTGGCCAGCATGACTAAGCCGCTTCTGGCGAACCAGAGCAGCACACGGAAACGCCGTTTACCTTCCCCCCGGAGCGGTACCTATTTATCTACTTGCACTTTGACGTGCTTTTGAACTGCTAGGTTGGCAGGAGCAGGGACCGAGCAACGGGAGCTCACCCCGTCATGGGATTCGAACCACCGACCTTCTGATCAGCAAGTCCTAGGCTCTGTGGTTTAACCCACCCGTCTACAGCGCCACCCGCGTCCCTTCAATTCCCATATTTCCTTTCTAATCTGTGTCTTTTCTTACCCAACTCATTACTTGAAGGAATTTCTGTGGATAAACTGCATTTTCATCCTCTAGCAGCGCAAGATAGGACTGGACAGCATGAAGTCGCAGCTGGCTATCTTCCTTTGCATCTTCAAAACCTAGAAAGGACATCACAATATATTTCTCTTTCCCGATGTGTGTGTGTGTGTGTGTGTGTTTCTCCATAAAAGACAAATGACACTACTCCTTACTTCCGCTACTGAATTTTGTATATTATGCTCACCTTCAGCAAGGAGCTGCAAGAAGCTGTTTGGGATGTCAGGGTGCATTTTATCTCCTCCTACGGAAAATACTGCATTCATAGTCTGGATGAACCATTCATTGTCAGGAGCATATGTGTCAGAAAACATTAAGGAAAACTGAACTTCCACAACCATACAGCAATTCTCTGCAGTGTTTTCTTAAAGCTTACCAATGCACATTTAGGAGAAGCAATACACTCATGACGTAACCATTCCAGAGGCATTCAAAGGATATTTTTCAGCTAATTCTGCTATTTTGCCAACTATGTTGATGATGGTATACTCCTCATTACTTTGAGTTAGGTAGTCAAGCATCTTCTGTACTATGACAGTGACATTCTGCCCGTTGGTGATTCTATACAGTAGTTCCAATGTCTGAAGAAAGAAAAACGTTAACCATGCCAATGTTTAGTTGTCCCCAAACAGAACAGCAGCATAATAAGCAACATGCTTCAGGGTTGTTGCTCTAAATAAACAAGTACCATGCATCTTAACAGTTACAGAGCTTTAAGAATGGGTTAACATGAACCATAAAGGAAATGCATAAGAACGAACGTTTCCTGCATGAACTCCCTCATAGAAACAACAGAAATGGTTCCTGTTAGAGCTGTGGTTGAGGAAGCACAGGGAAGTAAGTATACTGAAAAATGCATACGCATCAGCAAGGGAACTTGCTGAGCTGTTTGCATACCCCTACACAAGCTTGCAACTGCATGTGCTTGTGTCCACACAACACACATGGAATACAGTGGTACCTTGGTTTACAACCATAATCCGTTCTGGAGGTCCGTTTGTAAACCAAAACAGGCTGTAACCCAAGGTGCACTTTCGCCAATGGGGTCTCCAAAAAAATTTTGGTTCGTAATCCAAAAAAATGGTTGCAAACTTCCAGGTCTGACGTGTTTGTAATCCAAAACATATGCAAACCAAGACATATACAAACCAAGGTACCACTGCAGGCGACAACCTCACCTAGAAATCTGCACGCACTCTGGTTCACAAGGGTTTTTTTCTTTTCAGCTAGAAACCCAATCTATACTAACAATTTTATTTCATTTTTATTTTGCATTCATGGATTGGCTACTCCTAATGGAAAAAACAGACCAGTGCACTCCCAGATACAAAAGTAGTCATTAGTTCCAGATGGGTATCTTGCTATGCTGCCACTAGATCAGTCCTTCCAACGTGGGTAAATCTTGTGTCTTCCAATACTTTGCTAGAAGGATTCTTGCTGCTGTTGTGGCATACATAAAAAATGTCCTATCCTTCTTGGGCACCATTTGGCCCACCATACCCAAGAGAAAGGCTTCTGGTTTTTTAATAAAGGTTCTCTTAAGAACTTTTTTAATTTCATTATAGATCATTTCCCAGAAAGCCTTAATCTTCGGGCAGGTCCACCAAAGGTGATAGAAGGTTCCCTCCGTTTCATTACACTTCCAACACTTATTGTTGGGCAGATGATAGATCTTTGCTAACTTAGCCGGAGTCATGTACCACCTGTAGATCATTTTCATAATGTTTTCTCTTAAGGCATTACATGCCGTGAATTTAACACCAGTGGTCCATAACTGCTCCCAGTCAGCAAGCTCAATGTCATGCCCCATATCCTGTGCCCATTTAATCATACAGGATTTCACCATTTCAGTCTAAAGGTAACATTTTTCATTTCGCTCAATATCTTTATGTCAGAGGTTAAAGAGGAATGATAACTTCTTTCAAAACCATCTAATATGCACATTATATCCCGCACAAACATGGGAAGCTGTCATTCTTACAGTAAATATCACAAATCCCCACAATAGGGGAGCAATACTAAGAGAATACCAATTTGAAATTTATTACTAAAGATTGTGCTTGTTAAAATTCCACTTACCTCTCTTTTAATAATGGGATCAGGGTGATCCAAGCACTCAATTATTGTCATTTGGTGCTGCAGTGCTAGGGCAGGATCCTGCTGGACAACATATGTTAGGGCCTTTAATCCTAGAAAGAAAAGTTACTGCAAAGAATGCAAGCTGAAAACACAGGCATTCAGCATCAAACACACAGGGTTGTGACAATCGGGAGAACTTACCCAAATATTTCAAATTAATTTTAGGCGACAGGACAAATTTTCCAATGCATTTGGCGGCCTTCTCAAGTAGATCAGATTTAGGGTAAATTGTGTAAATTGTCTGGACACATTCAAACAAGATTGCTGCAGGAAGATCAATGAAAAAGAAAATGAAAATGATAGTTTCTGTAAAAACAAATAGGCACATGAATATTGAACAAGTCCCATTAGTTTATAGAGACATCAGAACTTTGGTGTTGTGGCCTTTGTTGAAAGCACTCCTGAGCATGTGGATTTTTATATTTCTAGCACTCCATGTTCCATTTCTACTGGATGCATTTGAAGGATAGGCTAGCTGCTTCAGGAATGCATTTCTTACATTCTGAAACACCCTTAGTTACCTTCTGATCTATGTATGGCTACCTTTAAAGGACCACATTAATCCATGTGTTAAGACCTTCTGAAGTTCTTCTCCGAGTTCCCCTGCTTACTAATGCTCAGCAGTGATAATCACCCAGAAAGTCTGCTTATGGAATGATCTCTCCTGGACAGCTCAGGTATTCTCATGTCTTTTGATGGCAAACCTAGAATTGCATCTCTCGTCACCACTATCTGCCTTAGTTCCCCAAACTCGCTTCCTGCAAAGGTTAGTTCAGGCACTGAAATCTGGCCTATATCCTTCGTTTAGAAAATGTGCTGCAACCTACCATACGTAATGTTATGGTTTATCTCCGCTCTCCTTAAAGATTCATCCAGAACATCATACATTAATTCGCTGGTCCTGTTAGAGAGAAGGAACAATGGTTTTTAACACAAAATTAGTCTCACGATCTCAGTCCTAAGTAACTGTTCATGTAGTCCAACAACCCCTTATGATCGTTTTAAGGGGGCATCTTCATATCATTACTGGAGCAGCGCAAAGAATGAGCCGCGTCAACGGTTGAGGAACAGATGGCAAACCCTGCCCCTTGCAAAACTTATTGTTTTATTTTTTGTTTCATGGGAGTACGGTAACAAAGTGAGAGGGGCCAGCGTGAACTGTTGAAAAGTTCAAGCCAAGAAGAGAACGTCTACCTTGGATCATCTTTTCCAAGCAGCCCCAATATTCTCAGAAGCTGGATTTGCAACCAAGGTGCTGGCACACTGTGGTAATTGAAGTCTACAGGGAGTTTTCCTCCCACTACCTGCTTAAGAATAGCGACAAAGCTGCCAGTCAAGTCTTTGTACCCAGAGGAGTTTTCCTAGACAAAGAGACAAAACACACAGAGACCTTATAGAAACAGAAACAAAAGCTATTAATGTTTCACTTAATCATTAGTCTCTCCTTGCCTTTTCATGCAAATGTTTTCTGCCCCGATTTTAAAAATCAAAATAAAATACAGCCAAGAAGCATAAAAATGTGCAAAAGAAACTCATTACGCCCATCAAAAGGTCCCGGGTTCAATCTCAAGTATCTCCTGCTAGGGTTGGGAGAGACCCTAGCCAAAACACTGGAGAGCTGCTGCAAGCCAGTGCAATCGATACTAAATAAGATGGGCCAATGGTCTGACTCGGTATAAGGCAGCTTTTCGTATAATAATGTGTTAGAAGTGCACAAACACTGGCCTGAATGGACAGAAATGCTGCATTGCTGATGCACAGTTAAGATTTCTATTCTCTTGGTCACTTCACTGAAGGCATAAGCCCAGGTCATATTGTGCAGTGTCCAGCGTTCTATGTCTGCTGGCAAAATATCTTGCACATTGATGAGTTGTAATGATGTCCACAAGTGGAATCCAATTCAACATTTGCACTAGTGCAGGGGTGGTAAACCTCTGACCAGGAGATCAGTCTTGGCCCATCAAGATGCCCTATTTGGCCAGTAATGCCATTTCTCCCAAACCACATCCACTTGCCCATCAGGCTGGTGGGAGGACAGTTTAATACTGCATTGGCTCCACACCGTCCCCAACAGGGAACAGGATTTAATCCCCATTCATGAGCTGAATGGTGAGAGTTAAAGCCCTTTGCAAAAGCACTCTGAAACAGCTCAAAGCTTCTCCTTTAAGCAGGCAGGTGGGCAAGAGGACCAAGGATCCCCGCCCCACACCCAATTTGAATAAATGCAGAGCGACTTCAATTAGTTACTTAGTACTTTTTGCAGAGTTCTTTAAACAGCCTCAATGCTACTGTTCCAGCCGCCAGAGGCTCAAACAGGAGCGGTGGAGGAGCTGCCTGAAATCCCTTTGCAAAAGCACTTTTTGAAGCTGCTGCACCTCTTTTCCTTTAAACATCAATGTTCAAAGTAGGGGGAGAGGTGTTTCAAAGAGCAATTTTGCAAAGGGCTTAAGGCCACTGACCCTGTAGAGGCTGAAACATGAGCAAAGGGGACTGTCAGAAAGCGCTTTGCAAACAGCAAAAAGGATTTGAAGCCGCTGCATGTTCCCAGCTGGCTGCCAGGCACTTGGGAATCCTGTGCAAGGGATTTTGAGAGGCAGGCGGGGGTCATCCATGTGTCAATCATGTGACATCATGTAACTGGCAGGTAGGCTGTCCTGTCCATCTGTAAAATCTGGCCCACAAGGCTGATCCTGAGTCAAATGGAGCTAAAAAGCTTTCCCGCCCTTGTGATAGCAGAAACGTGTCACACGGCACATTGTGCGGTCTCTCGCACAATAAAATTAGCAGCAGCTGTCTGTGCGCACTCTTGTGCAAGAAATTCCACTGGTGCAAAACAAATTCCCAGTGAAACAAGTGTGCTGTTAGGTGTTTTTGGATGCAGCACATGTTTATCCAGTGCTGTTAAACAGAAACAGATCCCCACCTTCACCATTTGGAGATAGATGTGCAACGAAGCAGCCATAACTCCCACATCCCTGTCGCACAGTGCCTTCCGGAACTTGTCGTGGATGTGCTGGACTTGGTTGGGAGCAATAAGGTAGAACTTGTACAAAGCTTGGACTGCTTTTCTTCTGATAATTTCCCTAGAAGAGACAAATCAGTGCACCTTACTGGCAGCCAACTATACTGTTGTTTCATCCAGATATACCTTAAGATCCATGCTTATATCACAGTTCTGGAATTGAACTCAGGTTCCCTAGAATTTTGTAAGCAAAGACATACTTTGAATGCTGAAGCTTATCTTCTATTAGCGGAAGGACAGCTGGAATCATTTCCGGCGGAAAGATTTGGCTTGCCACAGTCAGAGCCATACACACTTCCAGGAGGTTAGTACTCTGCAAATCCTGTCAAGACACATGAAAACAAAGCCATTAATTTCCCCCTCAAGTTAAGATCTCTCATAATGCACAATGGTACCTCTAGTTATGAATTTAATTCATTCCGGAGGTCTGTTCTTAACCTGAAACTGTTCTTAACTAGAGGCATGCTTTCGCTAATGGGGCCTCTTGCTGCCACTGCGCAGCAGGCACACGATTTCCGTTCTCATCCTGGGGCAAAGTTCTCAACTCGAGGTAACTCTTCCAGGTTAGCAGAGTTTGTAACCTGAAGCGTTTGTAACCTGAGGCGTTTGTAACTCGAGGTACCACCGTACTTTCAAAACAAACAAACACAAACAAACAAACAAAACCTGTTTACAATTTTTACTTCCATAAGCAACACTCTTGTTAAGACTCAAATTTGCCAGGTTTGAATCCAAGCTACAGCATCATACTACTAAAGGTGGGGAGGGGCTCTTCTGCTTTGGGTATAGGACAGTGAGCCAACCATGAGCCAATATTATGGCTATTGCATGGGGCGATTAGCCTTTTTTGACTCACACTTCCTCTTTAGCAACCCATGTGACCACCTCCTTTTGCAGCTATTTGGAGGGCATGTCCAGGACCTGAGTAAGAGACGCGGGTGGCGCTGTGGGTTAAACCACAGAACCTAGGACTTGCCGATCAGAAGGTCAGCGGTTCGAATCCACGCGATGGGGTGAGCTCCCGTTGCTCGGTCCCTGCTCCTGCCAACCTAGCAGTTCGAAAGCACACCAGCACAAGTAGATAAAGAGGTACCGCTCTGGCAGGAAAGTAAATGGCGTTTCCGTGCGCTGCTCTGGTTCGCCAGAAGCGGCTTAGTCATGCTGGCGACATGACCCGGAAGCTGTACGCCGGCTCCCTCAGCCAATAAAGCGAGATGAGCGCCGCAACCCCAGAGTCGGTCACGACTGGACCTAATGGTCAGGGGTCCCTTTACCTTTTCCAGGACCTGAAGGGGTACAGGATTTGGAAAGTCTGCTCCTCCTCCAACCAACTCACATCCCTGGTCCCGGCCTCTGTCCCATCTTGGCTGTTGTGCCATTACACCTGCACATCCCATAGGCCACGGTGAGAACAGGATGCTGCGCTACACTGGCCTGATTCAGCAGACCTGTCTGACGTTGTGTTGGTATTATCTCATGTGGCAATGGCATTGGGGCAGGGGGCGTTGCTATATATCCCATAGCCTCTCAGCAAGTGGATCAAGAATAGGATTGTTCCCTGGAACTGCAATTTCAAGCGGAAGAGCAGTGTGGCTAGGAAGGGAAACCACCACTGACAACAGGGGACAACACCGTCGAGTCTCCTCCTGAGAGGTCTCAACCATCAAGTCTGCTGCCTCGGGGAAGAACTGTGTGGCAAGAGCTGCCCTGTCCTCTTGGCCTGGACATTGTCACCTGCCCTCCTCTTGAACTTGGGAGACCACTCTTTATCAAGACAAAACCACCACCAACGTCAGTGAAAAGCTGCTGCTCAACCAGACAGCCAGAATCCCCATTGACAAAACTATGTAACTGCTTTGTGAAAACTGTTACTTGATGAGCTTGCTTTTCCCTCCTACTGCCCAATTCCTTTTTCCTTGCATGCCGTGTCTTTTTAGATTACGAGCTAGAGCAAGGACTGTCTCAGTACTGGTTTTTGTAAGCCACTCCCAGAGTCATTTTGGCTGAAGAGTGGGGCATCAATAAACATCTTAAATGAATAATTACTAAACCTTTCTCTTTTTTGATATATATTTTTTTTGCAACAACAACAAAAGTCCCACAGCACTGGTTTGATTGTCACTAGGCTTAGAACAGGTTTTTTTGAATGGGGAGGGGTTGCAGGAGCCAACACAAAGATTCTGTGTCTCAATAGCTGTGTTGTACTCAAAAGAAAAGACCCACAAACCCAAAAAATCTACCTGAAGATGATGAGGAAACCATTTTGGTTTTTGTTTAACAATCACAAAATAGCAATTCGAAGACAGACAGACAGACAGACAGACACACACACACACACACACACACACATGTTCATACAGAGAAGAATGAAGAATGGGGTGGGGGTAACCTATTTTATTCTCCAATGACAGCCTGTCATACTATGCAGAATGCCACTATGGAGAGCCATTGGAGAGCCGTTGGGATTCTCAGAAAGGAATTTGACCAAGGATCTTCAGGCCTTCCAGAAGGGGGGAACTGAGAAGGCCTAAGAACAAGCAGAAACAACCTTGCACATTGCCCTTGTGTTCTTCTTAAGGTCCTGGCTGGGAAACAAGGGTTTTTTACCACATTTTATTGATTTTCGGATATAACAGGTTGAAGAAAGGAGTTTATTAATAAATACATCATATGAGGGTTTTGAATTAAAGTTTTTCTTTTTTTAAAGGAGAACAACTCAGGCCTGAGGTCAGTATGATGTTTACCTCCAAACCTCCCACAAAACTGTTACCTTCACAACTGTATTCACAAGCAGAAGCAGCAGTTCGTGGTTTTCATGAAGAAATAGAGAAACTGCCAGATAACCTAAAAGAAAAGAAAGATTAACCTATATCAGGTGTTCCAACTTGTTTGTATTCCATTTCTGTCATGCTCTGACTTGCAAGCTCAAAGCAGCTTATGGTTTTCCCAAAACACAAAATGCTTGTGTTTTGGAAAATCTAAATAACAAACTGTCTGAGAAACAAAAAGGCATAAATTATTTTTAAAAAACATTTTATTATTATACTATTCAACAATGAAGACAACTATTATTATTACTACTACTACTATTATTATTATTATTATTTATGACTCAGCCACACTGGGCGGCTACCAACACATATAAAAATATAATAAAACATCAAACATTTTAAAATTCCTGATACAAGGCTGCTTTCAGATGTCTTCTAAAAGTTGCATGGTTATTTATCGGCTTGACATCTGATGGGAGGGTGTTCCACAGGGCGGGCGCCACTGCCAAGAAGGCCCTCTGCCTGGTTCCCTGTAACTACACCTCTCGCAGTGAGGGAACTGCCAGGCAGCCCTGAGAGCTGGACCTCAGTCTCCGGGCTGAACGATGAGGGTGGAGACACTCCTTCAAGTATACAGGGCCAAGGCCAAGATAAATATGAGTTATTAGTCACTTGTCTATCTGGAATCTCCCAACAGTATGCCACAAGGGTAGGTACTGGAGAGTAACAGTGAAAAGGAAAACCTAGTCCATTAGAGCAGTGTTTCCCAAACTTGGGTCTCCAGCTGTTGTTGGACTACAACTCCCATCATCCCTAGCTAGCAGGACCATTGGTCAGAAATGATGGGAATTGTATTTGGATTACTGGAGACTCACATTTGGGAAACACTGCATTAGAGCAAAGGAAGTTTGCAATTTACAAGCTTTGTTTCAGCATTTTATACTATCATAAAACTGACTACTTAAAATTTGGCCCATGGGGATGTGGGGGGAGGTGCCTGCTTCTCCAGCTAGCAGGACAAGATTGATAGGCCAAGGAGTGGTTAATGTTTCTCTGCAGGAAGAAACTACCCATAAATAGGTGGTGGTGCTCCACCCTCTGCTTAAGAAGCCTTCACTGAATCTAGAGGTACTGCCTAGTGCTTAAGATCTACCAAGTTGGGCTCCATCATCCATAATTAAATCATGGGTAAGTAAAGGTAAAGGGACCCCTGACCATTAGGTCCAGTCGTGACCGACTCTGGGGTTGCAGCGCTCATTTCGCTTTATTGGCCAAGGGAACTGGCGTACAGCTTCCGGATCATGTGGCCAGCATGACTAAGCCACTTCTGGCGAACCAGAGCAGCGCACGGAAACGCCGTTTACCTTCCCGCCGGAGTGGTACCTATTTATCTACTTGCACTTTGACGTTCTTTCGAACTGCTAGGTTGGCAGGAGCAGGGACCGAGCAACGGGAGCTCACCCCGTCGCAGGGATTTGAACCGCGGACCTTCTGATCGGCAAGTCCTAGGCTCTGTGGTTTAACCCACAGCGCCACCCGCGTCCCGCAAATCATGGGTAGTAAAGGACTTATTATGGACCAACCTGCTCAGTTCTTGCTTTCCAGTGAAACTGCCACAGTCATAAGACAACCAGAGCTATACATGAGTTTTGTTAAGCAGCATACTGTCACGTGATGCTTTGGAATACATACCGACTCTTTTCTCAAAGAGGTTTCCTTGCTGTGCCAACTTGATGGCATGGATGTACCCGAAAGAGGCCTCATAGCCCAGCATCTCACAATAGATCAGCCTCACCATGCATTCCTTCATCAATCTCTGAAATGCAAGAAGCAAATCACAAACTGTAATAAGTGGGCTTCTCAAGTGCTAGTTCTACAAAGAGATGTACAGCACCCAAATTAACAATGCTGATGAATTCCAGCAAACAATTAGCAAGCTGTATACAGCACCCCCAAAAAAGCAATCACCGTATTTTTCGCTCTATAAGACACACCAGACCACAAGACGCACCTAGTTTTTGGAGGAGGAAAACAAGAAAAAAAATATTCTGAATCTCAGAAGCCAGAACAGCAAGAGGGATCGCTGCGCAGTGAAAGCAGCAATCCCTCTTGCTGTTCTGGCTTCTGTGATAGCTTTGCAGCCTGCATTCGCTCCATAAGACACACACACATTTCCCCTTACTTTTTAGGAGGGAAAAAGTGAGTCTTATAGAGCAAAAAATACGGTATTTGCTACAATCTGAATGTTGCATGGGAGCTATTACCCACAGATGGCAAAGGCCACTTCCTGTATCATGTTTTTATTTTATTTTATTTTTTATAATATTTTTTATTGCTTTTTTTCCAAGGTCAAGATACATCATCAATAACACAACAAAAGCGGTTTTACAGAAAAAAAAAGATTGTATACAAGAAAATTCACTTTTCCAGATCTTTTTTCATAATCAACTAGACTTCCCCAGATCCTCCGTCCCTGCTTTCTTTACAATAAAAATAAACAGCAAATTGCAACCTTGTTTCATATGTTTTTGTATTTTCTTCTAATTATATATTCTAAAATTTAAAGTTTTCACAGTCATAACTTATTTTCCATCATTCTCAAATCTCAATACTGAAGCATGTTTTTCCCAAAAACTTAGCAAATTCTCAACATTCATATAACTTGTAGTGTTTTTGTAGGTAGTCCTTAAATTTTTTCCAGTCCTCTTCCACTGCCTCTTCTCCCAGGTCTCGGATTCTGCCAGTCATTTCGGCTAATTCCATGTAGTCCATCAGTTGCGTATGCCACTCTTCCAGCGTGGGTAACTCCTGTGCCTTCCAATATTTAGCTATAAGGATTCTTGCTGCTGTCGTTGCATATAAAAAGAAAGTTCTATCTTTCTTTAGTACTCTCTGGCCCACAATGCCCAGGAGGAAGGCCTCTGGTTTCTTATGAAAGGTATACTTATATATCTTTTTCAACTCATTATAAATCATTTCCCAAAAAGCCTTCACCCTCGGGCATGTCCACCAGAGGTGAAAGAATGTTCCTTCAGCCTCCTTACATTTCCAACATTTATTGTCTGACAGATGATATATCTTTGCAAGTTTGACTGGGGTCATGTACCACCGGTATATCATTTTCATAATGTTTTCTTTTAAGGCACTACATGCCGTGAATTTCATACCGGTGGTCCATAACCTTTCCCAGTCTTCGAACATAATGTTGTACCCAATGTCTTGTGCCCATTTTATCATAGCTGATTTAACTGTCTCATCTTGAGTATTCCATTTAAGCAACAAGTTATACATTCTTGAAAGCACTTTCGTCTTAGGTTCAAGTAGTTCTGTCTCTAGTTTTGATTTTTCCACCTGGAAACCAACTTTTTTATCCTTTTTAAAGATCTCTAAAATTTGGGCGTAGTGAAACCAGTCTCGCACCTTCTGTATCATGTTTTTAAAATCATGGGAGCACTTTCACCATTCACTCCTGTCCTGCTCTGGTTAAGGCTGTGATTCTGTTAAGCTTTCCCTCCCCTCCCCCATTTTCAAGCTTTTCTTTAACATTACAGTGAGTGCAATCCTATTCTGAAGATTCATCAATTGGAGAGCTATAGGATTCAAGGGAGGTCCCACTACACCACTATGATAAATAGTTTAGGGTAGGTCTAACTACAGTCATACCATGGGTTACAGACGCTTCAGGTTGTGTTTTTCCGGCTTACGGACATGTCAAAACCCGGAAGAACTGGAACGGGTTACTTCCAGGTTTCAGCGGTCGTGCATGCACAGAGATGCCGAATTGCAACCCGTGCGTGCACACACGCGGTGTTGCAGGTTGCGAACGCTGCGGTTGCGAACGTGCTTCCCGCATGGATCACGTTCACAACCCAAGCATCCACTGTAGATCTCATCCTAAACCTCTGATCCTAAACTCTGATCCTAAACCTCTGCTGCCTTGCAGGAGAAGTAAAGTCTAAGGAGTAAGTCCCACCCAAATTCGGAGTCTAGTCCCTAAGATGGGTGGATGGAGCCTTTCGGCAACTCCTGAGGCCAAGCTGGAGCCATATTGCTCTGCTTTCCATCAGCAAGGCTGAGAAGAGGGCCCAGGACCTCCATGCACACTGCCCAGGCTTGCGCCCCGTGGAAGTCACTTCGGTGCAGCAGTTTGACTTCACCTCCGGAGGCGCACTCTATTGTCTCTCAAAAAAGACGGGTGGCAGCAACAACAGGCATGGGGAACCATTGGCCCTCCAGATGTTGCTGGATTTCAACTCCCTGCCAGACCCAAACCAACAGAGTCTATTGTCGTAGATGATGACAGCTGCAATCCAGCAACATCGAGAAGGCCAAAGGTTCCCCATCCCTGCTCTAGTGGAATATCTCATGGAACATATACGCCAGTAGCAAAAATCGTTCAAACGCTAGGACAGGCACAATTGGCATTTCTCTTTTACAACTTACCAGTGTTGTAGTGGGTGCAGAAACTGTTGCTTTTAAATTATTTAATTCCTGTTGGATTAGTTTTTCTTCCTCCTAGTAAAGAAAAAAATTAAAGCATTTTGTAAATACTTATTACTTTACTAGACATAAAACTATAATACAAAAGGCACTATATGTCAGTCAAAAAATATTCCTATTTTCTTGACATCTAAACATCAATAGTCTATACAATTACATTAGACTTCCGCATTCAATTGGGTCTGTTTTTTAAGCACACCATCTAGATGTCAAAAAGTTGTTCGCAATGCAACACAATATTTCATTTTTAAAAAAAATTAATACTCTTATTGCATATCTGTTGCTGCATCCTACCATAATGTCCTTAACAAATTTCTGCTGTCAATGGAAAGTTAAACACATGCCTAGATCCAGTGCTTTTTTCCTTAAAAAATGTTTAGGGGTACTCTCATTTTCCTACTCATATTGAAATACTGCTCCTCAATGAGGCCGAACTTAGATTCACCAAATGTTTATGGGTATGCGTACCCCTGTGTCCCCCCAGAAAAAAGCACTGCTTAAATCTCCCGCTGAAATCAAGGCGAATGAGAGAATGACTAACTTTGCCTGAATCACAGCTAAACTTTGAAGAACCAAACTTTTTAAATAACCAGTTTTGACAGCATGAAATGCTGAAACAGAGCATCCTGGTCACGTTTGCAAATTTGTAATGTTCATTCCAACCTTGTTAGGCTTCTTAAGAAACTTGCTTTTCTGGGAGCTATCTAACAGGTCATATTCTCCCTTCTTTGGCCCCAAACCTGCAACCCTTCCAGGAACTTAAGTGCCCCACATCTGATCAAGAAGACGATTTGCCCTTGCTGCCCTGATAAACTAGGGATTCCCTTTTTGGATTCCTCCTAACCTAGAATCATATTCTCCACCTGCACACACCCTTGGGTACCTTCCCCCTCCCTTCATTTTTGTTTTTGTTGTCTGTTTGGGGGGCTTTTTTGGTCTCAAAGTCTTTATTTTGCGCCAGTCAGGGGCAGAAAGAAGCACTCCCTAAAAACAAAAAAATTACCACCCCACAGATGTGCTTGTTTGTTTTACTGCACTAAACTCTCTTTCTAATCCACAAAACCTAATTCAAACGTTCCTCACCTCAAAAGTTGCCAGCATCTTATTTTTTTAAAAAAAATCCCCAAGATTGGCAAATTACTCCATAAACTTCCACAATATGATATGTAAACGATAATAAAATAATCTGTTTGACATCCTATAATGTACACCCTTTTAAAATGTGGCTCTTTTCTGGGTGGGGGGCTATTATTGGGTTGTTGTTTTTTTATTCTGATTATATACGCTGCCATCTTTTCTGTGAACCGCCCTGAGACCTCCGGGTATAGAGCGGTATATAAACTCAATAAATAATAATAAATGAATGAATAAGAATTAAAAAGCCACTTAAAACATCATGATATTGCCACACAACGCTGGTAAAACAAAGCTGTTTCATATATACAAACTTCCGAGGACGCTGCTGAAGGAGGCTCGCCCTCGGCCGCGTCCTGAAGCGAGGAGCGCCGTGGGGCACTCTGTGCATGCCCAGAGGCACTCTCGCCGCACCCTACCCATCCCCCAGATTTCCTCCGCGCTGCCAAGGGACCCGAGCCCGGCTGCGGGTGGAAGCCGAGCAAAGGCCTCGCCTACTCGGGAAGCAAAGCCCCGCCGGTTCCCAAGGAGGCAAGCCAGGCCGCGTAGCCCCAACCCCCGCGTACATGTTTGGAGGCGAGCGCGGTGATGCTCCGGATGAGGCCGCCCAGGCGAGAGGTGGCCGAGCTCCGGCCGGGTCCCCCGCCGCCGCCGCCGCCGCCCAGCCCAGCCCCCGGCTCGTGCTGCCCCAGCAAGCCGGGCAAGGCGCTCAGCGTCCGCTCCACCACGTCGCTCATGCCCGGGCCGGCGCCACGGCTGCCCGGGGCCGCTGTCGCAGCCCGGAAGAGGAGGCCCCCAGCCCGACGCCCCGGCCCAGGGAGAAGAGACGCCGGCCTGCCAGCCGCCGCTGCCGCCGCCTCAGCGCGCACTTCCGGGCCGCCTCGGTCGGCGGAGAAGGCCGCTCGCCGCCCCCGGGAGGGCTTCCTCTCGAGGAAGGCGCCGGGCAGGGAGGAGGCGGCCGGGCTGGGATCGAGAGGGAGAGCCAGGCGCTGCCAGGAGAAGTTATTTTTATCATTTTTATTCTTACATTATTATTATTAGGGTTTTTTCCCCATCCCGAAAACGAAACTCAGAGCGGCTTCCAAAAACCGGGCATTAAAGAGGAGGATAGAACGGCCTAAAACACATAAGTGCTATTTTTATTTTTATCTTTTATCTTTTATTATTATTATTATTATTATTATTATTATTATTTATTTATTAGGTTTTCCCCATCCCAAAAATGAAACTCAGAGCGGCTTACAAAAACCGGGCATTAAAGAGGAGGATAGAACAGCCTAAAACACATAAGTGCTATTTTTATTTTTATCTATTATTATTACAGTATTATTATTATTATTTAGGTTTTTCCCCATCCCAAAAATGAAACTCAGAGCAGCTTACAAAAACTGGGCATTAAGGAGAAGGATAGAACAGCCTAAAACACATAAGTGCTATTTTTATTTTTATTTTTATTATTATTATTATTTATTAGGTTTTTTCCCCATCCCCAGAACAGCACTCAGAGCGGCTTACAAAAACCAGGCATTAAGGAGGAGGATAGAATGGCCAAAAACACATGTGCTATTGCTGTTGTTATTGTTATTATTTATTAGGCCTTTTTGTTAGGTATTCTAGGACAATAAATGCCAAAGGAAAATCGGACATTATTCATGTACATTATTCGTGTACTATGGCAGCAAGAATCTTAATAGCACAAAACTGGAAGACTGGAGAAATAGCATCTAAAGAACAGTGGCAAGAAAAACTGATGAACTATGCAGAACTGGCCAAATTGAAGGACAAATTGCATGAAATGGACAATATCGACTTTGGAAAAGAATGGGAACCCTTTACAACATACTTGCAGAATCAGCAAAAAAACATAGACTCCTTGGCAGGATTTAAATAAACATTTGCAACCTTATTTTGTGGGACGCGGGTGGCGCTGTGGGTTAAACCACAGAGCCTAGGACTTGCCAATCAGAAGGTCAGTGGTTTGAATCCCCACGACTGAGTGAGCTCCCGTTGCTCGGTCCCTGCTCCTGCCAACCTAGCAGTTCAAAAGCACGTCAAAGTGCAAGTAGATAAATAGGTACCACTCCGGCGGGAAGGTAAACGGCATTTCCATGTGCTGCTCTGGTTCGCCAGAAGCGGCTTAGTCATGCTGGCCACATGACCCGGAAGCTGTACACTAGCTCCCTCGGCCAATAAAGCGAGATGAGCACCGTAACCCCAGAGTCCATGACTGGACCTAAAGGTCAGGGGTCCCTTTACCTTTACCTTTTACAACCTAATTTACAGAGAACAAGAAATATAATTAGTGATAACAGAACATTATGTATGAAATATACTCTGAGTCGAGTGTGGATTTCATGTTCTTTATTCAGCTCATAGTAGTGAGGAATGGAAGTTCCCCCGAAATGTCTGCTTTATATACATTATTTACACAATGGGCCCCACATGATTGGCTAATTCAGGGATTCTCCTGTAGGCCAATCAGGTTGCGGATTCACTTCCTCCTGGAGTTGGATTGGGTGGCTCCTGCGGACCAATCAGACTGCTGCATTCTGGACCCTTATTGTTCTAGGACCAATCAGACTGCTGCATTCTGAATCCTATTGTTCTAGGACCAATCAGACTGCTGCATTCTGAATCCTATTCAACGCAGTACATAACAATGTATAAACAGCAGGATGTAACATTTGATGTAACAAACCAGAAATGGAAGTTGGGGGAAGTCAACGGGGGGGGGGGGAGTAGAAAATGGATGTTAAATGATGATAATTGAATAATTGTTATGAGAAAAGAAAATCAATAAAAATTATTTTTTTAAAAAACCCATCTGAAAACAGCAACAGTCTGGAAGCACCTCATTTGTCACCCATGTGCCTGCTCAGTGTACGGTCCAGATGCTAATTGAAGATGACCAACTTATAGGTTCTGCCACGGTCATTCCCCAACCAAAGGAATACACACAGCAGATAGTTAACTCTATTGTCTGAATATCCACGCACACTAGTCTAACGTCCAGGCAGCTATTCCCCACTTTGTGCTCTGTAGAGCAGTTGCAGCAACAGGGGAAGACTATGCCTGTGTGGAAGCTTCCTTTTATTTTCTCTCTTCAGTCCCCTCATAGTTCTGGGAGACAGTGATGCAGGAGAGGATGGGGAAGCACCCAGCCCTTCACTTGCCGGACTCTTCCTCCTCTTCTTCCAACCCATCCTGTGCTCCAGAGCTGGAGAGTCCTCTCCTTCTGACTCTCCTGGTCTCCTGGCTGGTACAGTTCCCCACAAATCACTGCCCCCCCCAAGTCAGACTCCAGCCCCCCTTCCCCCAATGCATACTCAACTGGCAGTCCCCGGCAAGTGCCTGTTCTCCTCTTACGGATCTTTAAACCAGACTTGGACCAAAATATCCGAAGATCAAGCAGTAAAGTATGTAAATGTGCACAAGTACTGTTGGAAATGTAAAGAAAAAGAAGGAACATTTTATCATATGTGGTGGGAATGTAAAAAGGTGAAAAACTTCTGGGAAATCATATATAATGAGATGAAAATAATGTTGAAATATACATTTATTAAGATACCAGAAGCATTTTTACTGGGCATTGTAGGAGATGATATAAATAGAAAGCATTGTAAGTTGTTTTTTTATGCGATGACGGCAGCAATAATATTATTGGCACAAAAATGGAAGCAAGAAGAATTACCGACGAAAGAAGATTGGAGGATGAAATTGATGGACTATGCAGAATTAGACAAACTAACAGGAAGAATTTGAAACCAGCGGGACCAGAGATTCACAGAAGACTGGTGTAAATTTACAGATTATTTGAAAAGTAATTGTGATGACCAGATTATGTTTGTAAGGTTTGCAAGAAGTTTTGTGAGGTGAATAATTTGAATTATTGCATAATTGGATAAAGAGGAGGATTGTTAGTTAAGATAATTAAAGGCAATATGAATTTAAGAAATGCAGTAGAAATGATAAAAATGGGGGATCATCAGAGGTGCTGATGGAAGTCCAAAAAGATTGTATAAAATGTGAGGTTTTGTGGTATGTATGATAATTAATATGTTTAAAAATTGATAAAAAATATTTTTTAAAAAAAAATGTGCACGAATACATTTGGGTGGCATGGAATCATGCTAGGGGAGCCTTTATATCAAGCATGAAGAATCCATGTCTCCAGATGTTGACTCAAACTCCCATCAGCCCCAGACAACATAGCCAGTGATCAGAGATTATGGGAGCTGGAGTCTGAAAACATTTGGAGGACCACAGTTTCCCTGTCCCCACTTCATGTTTCCCAGTCTGTTAAAAGGCTGGGAGAACATTTAAATCACCCAACCACAGGAAGAGGTCTCCTAGAATTTGCACTGTGACCGAAAACAGCCCTTTGCCTCAGAGATACATGAATTGTTGTGATTTTGGTATCATTTGGAACTGAGAATACAAGTAGCGCATCATGTTAATATTGCCGACGCTCGTCATGAATAGATCCCGAGGAGCCAGAAGGTGGCACCACGACACAACTTTTAAAATAATAATTTAACAGTACCCAGTGGCCAACCAAATGCCTGTGAGAAACCAGCAAGCAAGATTCGAACACAAGAATACTCTCCCCTCCTGTGGCTTCCAGCAACTTGTATTCAGAAACGGTGAGGCAGAACACAGCTGTCATCTCTGTTCCATGAATTGGTCTAATGCTTTTTAAAAGCCATCCAAATTGGTGGCCATCACTGACTCCTGTGGGAATGAGACCCATAGTATAACTATGCAGTAAATGAAGAAGTAGGAACTTTCTTCCATGATCAGTGATTTCACTCAGTATAAGCCAGGATCATAGATACAGTGAGTGAGGTTGTTCCTCAAGCAGAATCTGACAAAAGATTGGTCAGCAACTTACTACTCCTGGACTAAAATCAGCCCAAGTCGGCAACCAGCAACTGGCCCACCATTTCCTGCTAGAAAATGTCCAAGAGTGGCTGGCCCCCATGGAAACTGGTAGGGTAGAAAGTGGGGAGGGGACACAGGCGATGATAGGCAGAGCCAACTAATTCTGATTTTGTCACCATTCTACCTCCCTGCTGCATTCTTGAAGGGGAATAATAATAATAATAATAATAATAATAATAATAATAATAATAATAATAATAATAATTTATTATTTATACCCCGCCCATCTGGGTGGCTTCCAGCAAAACACTAAAATGAACCTATTAAACATTAAAAGCTTCCCTAAACAGGGCTGCCTTCAGGTGTCTTCTAAAAGTTTGGTAGTTATTTTTCTCTTTGACATCTGGTGGGAGGGCATTCCACAGGGTGGGTGCCACTACCGAGAAGGCCCTCTACCTGGTTCCCTGTAACTTGGCTTCTCGCAGCGAGGGAACTGCCAGAAGGCCCTTGGCGCTGGACCTCAGTGTCTGGGCGGAACGATGGAGGTGGAAACGCTCCTTCAGGTATCCTGGGCAGAGGCTGTTTAGGGCATTGAAGGTCAGCACCAACACTTTGAATTGTGCTCGGAAACGTACTGGGAGCCAATGTAGGTCTTTCAAGACTGGTGTTATATGGTCTCAACGGCCGCTCCCAGTCACCAGTCTAGCTGCCGCATTCTGGATTATTTGTAGTTTCCGGGTCACCTTCAAAGGTAGCCCCAGGTAGAGTGCATTGCAGTAGTCCAAGCGAGAGATAACTAGAGAATGCACCACTCTGGCGAGACAGTCTGCGGGCAGGGAGGGTCTCAGCCTGTGTACCAGATGGAACTGATAAACAGCTGCCCTGGACGCAGAATTGACCTGTGCCTCCATGGACAGCTGTGAGTCTAGAATGACTCCCAGGCTGCGCATCTGATCCTTCAGGGGCACAG